TTTACACCAATAAAATACAGGATTTGGCACACATTTTGATACACAGTAACTGGCATGGGCTATTAATGAAACAACTGCTAGTAAATGTGTATCAATTGGAAATTTTCTATACACAGATACTTATAACAATGTCAAAAGAAATGAAGGGGTTCCCATACCAATATCTATACCTGGGGTAAGATGTTTTTCTTTTAATAAAATCAAATGTTATTAATACTTCAATAATTAGTTCTAAAAAGGATTATTTTAGGCTAATTGCCCCAAGTGACATTTTGTATGTACAAAACCTTTCCAAATACAGGGAGGGCCACAGTGTTTGTTTTGATGTTCGTGCAAACTTTACAAAAGGGCTATCTTTGCTAGCTGTTTGTTACAGACAGTAGCTGCCTTGCCCAACTCTTGGGCTACTACAATTAAATGGTGGGATTTTACCATCATTTTTATAATATGGCCTAGGCCATAATGACCACTCCCCTCCCAACTAAAATACTGTATATCAGTTGTCAACAGATGTCACACACATTGATAAAGGTGGTATAAACATTTGTAATGTTAGATTGAATTCAATGACCATGAATATACAGCTTATCATATAGAAAGGTTTGTTGTGTCGTTTTCCTATGGCTCACCCTATATATAAGTATGGAATGAAGATAAATATCATTTATATATTAACCAACTGAGTAAGAGGAAGAAACAATAGAAACCAAAGAGTTACAAAATGAGAATATCTATATAGGACCGAGTACATTATATTAGAACATTTTTGAATATCCAAATCAGCAAGACACGTGACAATCATGACTGATAGAATGACAAGTATCAGAATTACATCTTGACATTGTTTGGCATATCATAGGTAGTGTGATGTCACTGAAAACTGATCACTTTTGGAAATGGTATATATTCCAATGTAAAATATTCACCAACTCAGATCATAAAAATGTGTACAGCCTAGGAATTTAGAATTTTCAAAATAGAGATATTCCTTGTACTTAAAATCATTGGAAAACAAAATAATATGAATCAGTTTGGGGAACCAGGACCATCCAGAAAGAGAAATGCAACAAGTCATTATAGGAAAAGGCAACAGTATGCAACATTATTTAGAAGGGCTTGCAACTGGAAAAATGAAATAAGTCAAGTGTATACAAGTTAGTTACCACTAAGACTTGTTTGTTCCACCAACGTATACCTCAAAGAGCTGGAGAAAAAAACAGATATTAAGCTATTCCACATTACTATTCTTTAACACTAGATTAATTATGGAAAGACAGAGAGGAGGGGTGTGCTTTGGACACAATAGCCTTACAATAGAGCCTTTTGCAATGAAAATGACACTGTAGGGCTATTGTTAAGATGCATGAACATCAGATAGAGCATGACTGGACATAGCAACATGAGTTGTTATGATGTGGTGAGGCTTCAAAATCATTTTAATGTAATGTACTCAACCTCTGTATTGCCAAGGCTGATTATGCTCTATTCATTATCATGGGCCTACACAAACCAAAACTGATATTTAAAGTTTTTTTTAAATTTAATTAATATGTTTTTCAAATTTCAGATAAGTGTCATGTTTTTAAACCTATTCCAGGACTTTTCTGTATAATCAGAAGAAACTGGTAATTTTTATCCTATTAAAATCTAACCAACAATTAAAACCACTAAATCTATAATTTTCTTGATATCAAATGTGGCTCAGTTTAGAAAGGTTCACTTTAGCAATCTACCATGTATCATGTCAGGGTTTAAATGTTGTATAGAGGTATTGGATCATTTTTAAAGTGTAGTGTTAAAAATTCATTTTCAGATCATGTATATAAAAAAAAGAACATATGAAGAAATTGTATATAATGCACATTTCAAATTATTGACATTTTTAATAATTACTTTTATAAGTTATAAAACTTGAAGATCAAAAAAGGTAAAAGTTGATGTGTGATAATGGTCACTTAAGACTTTTTACTCTCTAATTTGTGATTGGTGTGAAAAACATTTGTTTCTTTCCTTAGGTAATGAAAAATAAGAATAAATTTCACATTTGTCTGACACAAAAGTATTATTCCCTTAGTATCAAGAGAGTACTGTTAACAGCAAATTTTCTCAGTAAAATATATTTTTTGTTTGTTGGTGAAGAGTCAAAAATTTGTTTTCAATTCATCCTGTTAGCATGTAAAACAAGCAATATGAATTTTTTATTAGGAGCAAGAGAAAGATTAGTTTACATATGAGCTTTTAAGAAATTACAGACTAACAACTTGCTATCTTCACTTTAAGTTAAAAATGTCAATGACATATAATTTATTCTCGGGCTGTTTGACAGAAATTAACAACATTAGTGTGTTTTACACATCCATGAAATGTGTATATGCACAAACACTCAAAATTTCTTTTTTTTCCTTTGTAAGATGCAACATGATAATTAATATAAGTAGTATGTAAAAATAAATAAATAAAATAGAAGGTCATCATGGTTGCCAAAATGTCTTAATACAAAGAAATCAAAAGTTTAGTTTCTTTTAATCAGAACAATAAGCCAAAATGATCGAAGCTTTAGGCCGATATTGTTGAAACAGTTGGCATTCTGCTCTAAGCTTTCATGACATTGTAGCCCTCCTTTTTGCTAATGTCGTAGTTTTATTTACATTATAACTTTAATTTCATTTCCCTTCATGACTTATACACAGACATAGAAAAAAAAAGATTCATTTGATAAAAAAATTAACAAAATCAAATCAAAAATATTACATTATTTATAAGTTGTTGAAAATATTTTCTTTACAGGACCAAGAATTAAACCCAATTAAACTGGAAGATGGAAAAGAAATGGAATAATCCATAATAATTCCACAAAACTTGGAATACCTGACTTACGTATTAAAAAATATATTGTGTGCATTTGATAACAGAAGAGAATTGTGATTTTATCATAACGTCACGTGTAAAAGGATTAGACTATATTTCACAGTGGACATGTCTGTGTTTGAGTCATACTACAATGTATAAATTTATGAAACAGTTGCCATACGACTGAATTTTGTTTTACAACTAACAACTACATAGTAAAATGTAACCATAATCATATACTTTAAAATAATCTATTCAAAACATGATACAGTTTGTTAAAGAAGTCACATGGTAGTTACTTAACACATGATAAGGAGTAAATCCTTACTTTTAGACCATGCTATTGTAGCTAAGCTCAGCACAAGCCAAGATAAGATAAGGACAAAGTAAAACTGGCTCACAATCGTAGAAAACGTCCATGATTTAAAGCTGACTAAAAGTAAACAAACTGCAGACTTTAATGTTTTCACATCTGATAAATCCCTCGACTTAATGTACTATCCACAATTATCAACATACGAGTCATTCCGACTACCACCTAAAGTTACCAGTCTGCCATGGCTGCAAGTCTATCACATACTGATAGAGCCTGTAATATAACCGACAATAAAACAAAACTTGAGAAGTGTTTTAAATCATCAGCAGATATTCCAGTCATTGAGGTAGATCCTCAATCCTCATTTCAAATGACTATTACATTTTTCCAATAAAGTATTTTGGAAAGGTTTTATAAAAATGCTCCTTCTTAAACCTGACCCGAGCTATACTACTGACAAAACATTTTGTAAAATTAGCATGTACATTATAAACCTGGAGAAAGATGGCTGGTTTTTAGTTTTCATTTATAGTTATTCTCTAATTTGACTGGTTAAAAAGTAACCATAACTTGAGATATTGGTTTTAGTCCTAGGCTACTTACATATGCAACAAACTAGTTCAGATCACTTAACTGGAGCTTTAAAGTAACAAATCTTTAGTTATGTACAGCTTTTCACAAACTTTATTTGTTTTTAATAAAGCTTGTGGAAGACTTAAGTATAATACTAATGAATCAATATACATATATATATATACATAATTATGTAACTGTGTATTAAATTTGTGTTACAGCAGGAATGGCTGATAATCATACTGACTGGATGCTTTATTGTATTTTGAGTAATGACTAATCAAAATACAATGAACTATTAACTACACAAATTTCCTAATAAAGTATTCAGTACTGCTCAACGTAAGAAACTTCAGTTTCAGTTACTCAATATAAATATATAGACACAGATGTAATATTAAACTCAAACTATACAATGTAGGCAGACTAAAAAAAAAAATGTGTACACTGGATGTGATAAAAGCATTGATCCACCAAGTCCTGAATATATAACAATACTTTCTCTGAAACACAAAAATTTTTAATTTTGAAAAAAAAGAATAACAATAACAAAATACATTTTTAATGACCTTGTTACTATATGGCAGTATTGTGTAGATGAAATAATCATCTATATAGTATTAGTAAGAAACAAAGCAGTTATAGTATGATAAAATACAAAGAAACTATCCAACTCTCAATAAGAGAAGATATATAATGCAGCTAACATTTTGGCCAAAAAAGACATTCACCATGATGAAGGTTGTTTGGCTAAAACATTGACCACACAATTATTTTTCACTTAGAGCAATTTTTAACCCTTGTACACAATACTACTTCTATACATCAGCATCTACACTCCTGTTCTTTCTTTCTGTAAGGTGTTCAAAGAGCAGAACAAAGAGCTTTCACTTCGGAGGTATGGCTACTATAGTATGGTACAGCTAAACTTTGAAGACATTGCAACGATATATGAGGGAAGGAGATATTCACTTGTGAATATCCAATATGAAAAGTTCCTCACGGGTTCACAAAGAAAAAGAAGATACACACATCAAATTCTGCAAATGTGGTCATTCCTGAAGTGTCTAAAAACATTTACTATAGAAGATTTTTACACTGTCTACACCTCATATTTATCTCATTTCTGCAAAAACACTAAAAAGAAACATTCATAACATTATGAATTTATGATATGATATAATACATTCATAAAAATGGCATTCTAATATATATAAACAAGAATGTATATTATATATATATATATATTGTGTTTGAGAAAATTGACATTTACACTAAAAAAAAAAGAGCCATAAGAACACACCAATACGCTGGTGTGTGCAATTTAAGTCAAATTCAATTTCAAGACTTTCACATTTGCTAATGTAGCACTCTCTAACTTCATTCTTGTGGGAGTCTTCTTGTCAATAGTACCTCTTGAAACTAGAGTATTGTACATGGGAAAAAAGGATAAAAAATATTTGGGGGAGGATTATTCCCTTTAAAATGATTTACTGAAAACACCCTAGAAATGTAAAAGTTTCTCACATCCTTTTATGCCTGACAAAGTATAAAAAAATTTACTCAAGTGTTTAAAAACCTTGAATTTTTCTTTTGTGCAGAAAATGACAAATAGTTCTTAATAATTTTCACTTCTATAACAAAAGTATGAAAAGAGGTTGAGGAAGTTATTATCATATTACTTTTGATCACTAACAACTATATAAATTAGCATTTTAAGCATTGGAAAATTATAACTTTTATTAGATCATAGTTCATGTATAAAAAGCCAGTTACTATATTAAAATGCTTAATAATTCTTAACAATATTGCTTAACAGTGAAGGAAGTATGCAATATATAAAATAATATTTTAATGCCTTACAAAACATTACTGTTCTGCCTGTATGAAACACAAATTGAAATATTATGACTACGACTATGTTTGAGATTGAGTCACCTTCCCACATGGTGTGTTACAAAATCAAAACAATTGGCTAGAAACGCTAACCAATTGATTGATATTTTAAATCTCAGTCTCGTTCAACAGCACTGACTTTAGAATGAAAAAAAAAAAATCAGTTGTATTCATAATAAAAACATTTATGGTAATATCAAAGACTAGACTAGGCAGTACCTGATCTTATGCTTGCCTGACTGTCTTTTCTTACAAAACACTAAGACCAGCATACCCATTTAAATATCACATAAGTCTATATACAATGGCAATAATACTACGATGTTTTGGTTCATCTTTGCACAGTATGAACAAGGTCTCTCACAGTGGTTTCCAAGTCCGTGAAGAGTTTAGCACACGAAGCACTACTGTTGCTGCTACAGGCACGCAACTGCTCCCCCTGACGATCCAGCTTCGTAAGCAGCTCCCTGAATCGGAATCGTCCATGAGGTGGAATGCTCTCTGCATAGCTGCTACAAGAAGACAGGAACAGTTGGACTTTTTGGGACAAGTGCATTACACTGCTACTGCTAAGGGTCTGTACATCTTTCAGCTTTTGAATGTTCTTCTCAACATCACCTGAAATATCAAAAATGGTTTCTTTGCTGGATTTCTTTTCAACCTCTGTATCAGTTAAGTGTTCACTAATTTCATTACTGTTTGATTCTCCATCTGTGTTTCTAGATCCTTTAGCTGCTACACTTCTCAATTGAACCTGTGGAATTTTTACACTTCCACAACTAATTGACCTTGAAACAGGTCCTGTAGATGGTAGTATTGGTCTAGAGCATTTCATAAGTGGTTTACTGGGAAGAACAGGTTTCAAGACATGTGGCAAAGAGGAAGCAAGAACTGTATCTTCATTTAAAGTAGTTATTTTTACCTTAGTTGTTGGTTTGAGATCAATGTTAGTGCTCTGTTCAGAAGTTCCAGAAAACGTTTGAAGTTTTTTATCTTTTTCCACAGAACCAAGAGTCATATTAAAAAGAGAATTTGTTGGAAGACAATTTTTTTTGTTATCATAACATTCTATTTCCACATTCTCATCAGAATAAATTTCTTTATCCTGTGTCTTTTCTTTAGGGGTTTCTGATGACACAACTTCAACCTGTGGACTTCCTTCAAAGCTTTTGAACATTTCCTGGATACCAGAATCTCGTTTCCCAAGTTCATTCAGATTGCTGTTTTCTGTGTAGTTAACCTCCTCGCTTAAATTCTTCTCAATCGTTATTATACTCGTAACATCTTTTTCATGCTTCACACCAACCACAGATGATGACATTTCTTGGTCTTTCTGTTCTAAGACGGTAAGATTTTTTACAATTTTCCCACCACCCTCAGGTAATGGTTCTTTGGGTTTCTCTTCAAAGTTGGCAACATCTATCTCAGCCCTTCTAACAACATCAGATATAGGTTTTATAGCTTTTTCTTCAAAGATAAGGATACTTTTTCCAACCTCCTGTGCAATCACAGATGCTAGTTCTTTATTGTTCTGTTCCAAATTGGTGCTACTCTTTTCATATTTCCCACCAATAACATCTGTAGATTCTTTATCTTTCTTTTCAAATATAGTTACACTTTTTTCAACTTTCCCATCAATCTCAGGTGATGGTTCTTTTTCTTCGAAGATGGTGATACCTTTCCCAACCTTTCCACCAAAATTAGTAGATAGTTTTTTGTCTTTCTCTTCAAAGATACTAACACTTTTTCCAACTTTCCCTTCAATCTCAGATGATGATTCTTTCTCTTCAAAGGTAATGACATCTTTTGCAATATTTCCATCAATCTCAAATGATGGTCCTTTTTCTTTCTCTTCCAAGATGGTTACACCTTTCTGAACTTTACCTTCTATCACAGATAACGGTTCTTTGGTTTTCTGTTCCAAGATGTTAATATCTTTATTGATCTTTCCACCCACCAGAGATGGTTCTTTCTCTTCCAAGATGGTTATACCTTTCTGAACTTTACCTTCTATCACAGATAAAGGTTCTTTGGTTTTCTGTTCCAAGATGTTAATATCTTTATTGATCCTTCCACCCACCAGAGATGGTTCTTTTTCTTTCCATATTAAAGCTTGCTTACTTAAAATTTCCTGAAATGGTCTTGTTTCATTTTCTCTTTCTGTGAAAGAGCACTGGGTGACATCCTCTTGAGGTATTTTCTGCTCATTTTCTTTTTTGTGAGATGATCTTGTAAAATGTAGATTTTTGGAATCTTCTCTTACTCTTTTTTCCAACTGGTGCAGCCACAGTGGTACTGTAGTTCCATCAGCATTTTCATTAGTGAACTTTGATTCTAGAACATAATTTATTCTTTTTACTAGGTCACTCTGTGGTTCAGTATTGCCTTCACTTCCTTTTTCTGATTTTATTCGGTGTACTGAGTTTTTACAAGTTGTTTTGACTCCAGTTTGTAGAATTTCAACATTTTTTTCCCGATTTTTAGCACCATCTGTGCCTAATGTTGCTTCTGTTGTCTGTAGGGCCGCATTACCCGTCTCATTTTCTTTTCTTTTTGCCTTAAATTTTAATGTCTCAAATAGTTCTGAAACCAGCTGATCAGCAGGATTTCTTGTAGAAAATGTACTTTCCTCGACCTTGGAAGATATAGAATTTGTCTCAATTACTGGAGTTACAGGAGTGAGAACATCAGGTGTAAAATCTTCAACATGAGAATCTTTAGGATATTCTTTAACTACAGACTGTTGAATATTGGAAGATAGTGGATTCAATGCAGAAGAAGATACTTCTTCAAAAGAGGAATCAATACAATTTTCTGCTACTGAGTATGTGAGAGATTTACCTTGGCTTGTGAAAAAATTAGCATTTTCTGCATGATATGGTCCATCTTCAACAGGATTAGAATTCTCTTCATTTAAGGAATCTACAAGAATCTTTGAGTGAAAAGAAACATCACTGACACTAGTAACAGTTGTAGTAGGCTCTTGTATATTCGTAGTAAATTCTTCTGAAGTTGGGTCAAACAAGTCATTAGCAAAATCAGGTGGAGGAGGATACTCATCCTGGTAAGTCAGAGGAGGAGGGGGAGGCAAAGGGAGGATGTCTGGGTCTTCAAGTTCTTCTGGATTGTTGGAGGGGTCATCAAATCCATGAGGTGCAGGGGCCATATTTAACTCAGAACACCAGAGTATGGGACTAGACATGTTACCACAAGGAAATCTACTAGTTTTATTTGACGTAAAGTCTAATGTTTGTTGATTATCAATGTCTTCAGTGCTATCTTTGAGTTTGGAAATTTGAGGAACACTCAATGGCTCTGATTTTGTTCTGTTATTCAAGGTCAATCTAAAATGACTGCTACCAAAAGTCATGATTGGTGGGTTTTCTTGACTCTCATCTTGATTTTGTTTTTTGACATTCTTAGTTTCGTCTTTTGAATGTTCCCAGATTTCAGAAGAACCCGGAATTGCCCTTTCTCTGGAAGACTTCCATTCTGGTTTGGAATTTTTTGGTACTCTTGGGGAAGATACCGGTTTAAATGAAAGATGCTTTATTTCAGGAACTGGGCTAGTTTCTTGTGGACTCCAGTCAATATTTTGGACAAAATCAGACTTCTGTCTTGGAAGTAATAATTGAGAATTATGCTGCATATGTTCCAAATCATTTTTTTGAGAAAAAGATTTGAACTGTTTAATAGGGAGAGTCCCTCCCAAACCTGTTCTATTCATGACATGTCTGAGAAACTGTTTTGTACGAGGGTGAGATTCGAAAGAGTTTCCTACTTGTTCAGCTGAAGAATCCCCATCTCCTTCTGCAACTGGATCAGGAGGAATACGGGTTCCTGCGTGAAGTCCATGCTGTCGGAGAGACTCTAGATAAGCCCCAATTCGTGCTCCTTTTGGCAAAGTACCATAACGATTAATGGCTCTTTTGACATTTTGAACTTGGAGAGCTGCCACTTGAACTTTCTGAGCTTCAGGAATTTTTCCTCGAGGCAGACTATTATCTTTTATTCGTTGCTGGATGTTTGGTGGGTAAGTCCTAGTTTTTTTCAATTTTTGTTGAACCAGTTGAGAGCGACTTGGAACACTGGCAACAGAACCAGCAGGATGTGTTTCAGAGTCTTCAGTGTCTGGAGTTATTTCTCGCAGATCGCTTTCACTTTCCCCGTTACTGCTATTAGGCTCACTCAAATCTCTATGTGGAGAGTCAAACATTCTTTCTACACTGTTCTGTGATCCTCTACCCCCCTCTGTATTTTCTTCAGTACCAGGTGGTCTGTCTTGACATGTGCTATCTCGGAAAGAGCTAGTTCTCTTTGGTGGTAAGGGAGCTTGCTTGCTGCGAGCCCCCGGTCTTCTGAGTTGGACCAGACTGCCTCGACTAGATAAGATAAATTGCTGGGCAGGTGATCCACTACCTCGTGTTCCTGATTGATAACATATGTATAAAAGAAAATTGGTTCAGTGGTTTTCAATCTTATGATCTATAATGAAGAAGAAAATTTTCAGATTTTATAATTAAAATTATCTACAAACTATTTTGTACATTAGAACAATACAGCTAGAGAAGAAAGCAACAATATATATATATTTTTTTTTTCTGATTACAAAGGCTTTTTTTTTTGGCTGTAAATAAAAATTAAATCTCCTTTCGTCATTTTTCAAAAATAATTAAATGGATTTGTTCACTTCATTAAGAAAATCACAACAGATAGTTAACCAATATTGTGTAGAAGATCCTATCTAATGTAATAAGAATACAAGGTGGTTCAAAATTATCTTTCCTATATTAAAACTTAATAATTAAATAATTTAGAAAATACAACCATGTAGTTTTCAACATCTTGTAGACCAACAATAAAAGTTTTTATTTTCATGTTTTTTCATTTCAGTTAGTAGTGTTTACTCCGTAAAATAGCAACCATGCTAGAAAAAAGCCCAATGTATCATTTGGATTGCAGAGACCAAGTCAGTGATTGTGGTGCAGTATAATTACAGATGCCAGTACAGGAAAGAAGTATGGGGGTATGTTAGGGATATTATGTATCACACACCTGTAGCAAACATTATGGAGCTAAAGACCAGGATAATAGACGCCATCGCCACCGTAACTGTGGGCATATTGCAGCGTACGTGAACTGATACTGAATATCAATTAGACATGCTGATATATGAAGAAGTCTACTGCCACGTTAATAAAAACTGTTTGAGGTCGGCTACAACATGTAGAAAACTTCATGGTTATATTTCCTTAGTTAGTAAATTATTAAATTTTAAAATAAGAAAGATAAGTTTGGACCATCTTGTATAAAAGTTTATAATTTTCATTTATGATGATTAATGGTCTTTTAGTTTAAGAAAGGAACTGATCAGTGATTGGAAATAAATGTCTATTAATTATGGTTAAGCTTAAACAAACCTAGAAGCTAATAAAAATTTATACGGACATTGTGTTTTAAAAACTGACTGTTCAAGAGGTTTTTATATTCACTCAAAAACAAAACAGAAGTTTAACATTCATTACCGTCCCATGATAACAACTATTACAGTTAATTTAAATGTTCACAGATGACAATGAATAGTTAAAGAACAACCATTAATTTTATAAACTTATCTTACATATAACAGTCAGTAACTCCTGAATTAACAGATTGGAAGTTTATTGTCTAAATATTTATTCTTCAGAAGTGATATTTAAAAATTTAAACAGAAACCTGAATATATTAAGAATATGACACACCTTAACAAAGTGATATGTAAGGTATAGTTGGGAAAAGGTGTGCTAATAAAGTAATACTATTCAATCTAATAGTTTGTCAGTCTTATAGTTATCAGTCATTCTGTGTATCACGATACCACTACAAAACTCTTGTCTGTGGTTTGTCAATCTTATAGTTATCAGTCATTCTGTGTATCACGATACCACTACAAAACTCTAGTCTGTGGTTTGTCAATCTTATAGTTATCAGTCATTCTGTGTATCACGATACCACTACAAAACTCTAGTCTGTGGTTTGTCAATCTTATAGTTATCAGTCATTCTGTGTATCACGATTCCACTACAAAACTTGAGTCTGCTCTAGTTCACCTTGGTCAGGAATCTGTTGTTCAGAATTTTCAACAAGTGTGTGTACATCTGGAGAACTCCCACTTTGCTGCAGTTTATACAGAAGGAACGGACTTTGTCGTTCAAGCTGCTTCTGAACCTCTGTAGAAAATAACACCATATGTAATACTAGATGATCAAAGCTTTTCTACCGTCTTTCTATTAAACATGTGGAACAAATAGCATCAGTACAGTTGAACACACAGAAAAAAAAAAGTTGTCTAGCCTAAAAACCAGATTTCTTTGGAAAGTAATTTTAAGTTCTGATTTGTGAAACTCTTTAAGTTATAAACAAAAATGTGATACTTTAACACAAAAAACTATACAGAAAACTTACAAAATATTCACTAGGGAAGAAATCATAACCCAATAAGAAAATAAATAAAGACATCAGATAAGGCATTCACAATATTTAAATCAGTTTTCTTTTAGATGTCACTAAACATGTAATACTAAAAGTACTTCATAATGAATACTATAAAAAAAACAATCAGTTAGTAACAACTGAATAGTATGAAACATAATTCAACCATTTTGATAAGTACCAAGGAATTTTATCAACAAACATAAGAAAGTAATACATAACAAAAACTATAAATTCCTAAATTTGGTTGTAAAATATGCAAGAAAAATAAAACCAATTTATAACAGCTTTCCGATAAATTATTATGAAAAGGAATTAAAAAACACCAAAATGTAATTTATGAGTCAAGTGTTTTCAAGCAAAACTTATGAACTACAAATTTTCTTTAAATCTATTTAACCTTCTACTTCTACAATAAAAGAACCTTCTATTCTGACTACATAAGTCATAGTAAAATTCACATTTGTTTCATGTGCAAGTCAAGCAATTTGCATTAACAATATTATCAATGACAAAGTATGCAAGTAAAAATGCAAAAGAAATTAAGCAATTAATGAACTCAAATTACATGAAGCATAAATTAGCATAATATCCTCACTAATTTATTAATTATGAAACACAACTGAAAATAAAATCCGAGTAACGTTAAACTGAATTACAAACAATACAACATAGACAAAAACTGGTGTATTATAATCAGATACAAAAAAGGATTATACAGAAGCTAATACAATTACATGATGAAATGGCTGTAAAAATTAAAGGTAAGTCTCACTATAAATGCAGAGGAAGTTGGCACATATTTGTTACATCTTCTACACATCTACTAGCTGTAGATCTCATGCTGTAAAAAGACAGTTTCCTAAACTCTTAAGAGCTTAAGGGGGTCAGTTCCATTGCAGACGACTACTAAGATAAATACAATGTGTTGATTTTATACTTCATATCGTAAGTACCCATTTTAATATTGGCTTTCTATTTTGTCTTATCGTGCTCCGGTATTCAAAAAGAAGTTGATTGCTACAAAGATATGCAAGCATATACAACACTCACACAATAAACTTATAGACACACATATAACTCCATAAAAACACCTACCTTCTGTTATACTAGAATTTTGAAACATGGTTTCTAATGTAAGATGAATATTTTCAAATGTTGGTCTTTCTGATGGCTCCCACAGCCAACCTTACAATAAAATCAAAATATTCAGTGGCAGTTAAACTTTCCTCAAGGAAAAAAAAAATTATCAAGGCATACTTTCAAAGTTTTAAGAACACTGTAACACAGATGGAAGATTTAATTTGTGCCGTTCCTGCATACTAAAACTAAAGTTAAATGAATAGAAAGGCAAATAAATAACTACATACAAATTTTTACTTCTGTAATATCAATAAATCATTTGATATATCAATGCATTAATATGTTTTTTTAACAAAAGCAGCACAGTGTAATAACACAGGCCTGCGATGGTTTTATTGTCTTGAAATTTTTTACACGTTCTACAATAATTCCTGTATGTTGAATCCCAAAATTACTCCATCAAGTATAGACTTTTCACAAAACATCATAACACAATACATAAAAAAAAGACCACAACACGTAGTTTGAGACTAAAAGATGTAATTTCACACAAAAAAAAATCAGGATGAATGAGGATGTATATTCGTTTGACATCGATGTTCTTCTCTTTTCTTCAGTTTGTTTGTATTTTTGTTAACAAAAATAATAATAAAAAATGTTCATTGTGGTAAATGAAATAATAATTTGATTTAAGTAAGAGTTTTTTTCTTTATGATTTGTAAAAAAATCCTTACGCGATATAAAAAAAAATTACTATTATTTTCAAAATCTGCATAGCTCAATTATGGAAAATCCGTTATTAAAACCAAAACAACTTTTACGAAGTTTAAGTTCGCAGGCCTGTGTTATCAACAAAGGTTATTTCATCATTATTCCGACAACACAGGCTAATTACATCAACTAAAAATAAGAACTGGAGTGAAAAAGTAAAGACAAAGAGTGGAACATTCTATTTTAGCATGAAATTTAACCTTATCTAGAGTTATGTTAACTTGTTTGTGTTCTGACTTGGTTGGAATAACATTTAGATCTATCATAAATTTACAAAAATAATACAGGGCAATGATGCAAAAGCCATTCTACCCTTACTATTCTCTCTCTTTTTCTTTTGTTATTATAACTAGTTGAAATGCCATTAACCTTGCAAGAAAATGTGAAAGTGATCCCATTGTTTTTACATCTATAGTGTACCATTTGAAGTTCTAGTGGCATAACAAGGGTGTCTGGTATCCAGGGGCAAAACATAATTTGGCACCCCCCAAAAAAAATCCAAACTTCACCCACCCTTTACACTCTTACTTTCTAACTTCTAACATTGCATGGGAACCCTTCCTATCATGATACTGTATCTAACGATGCCAACCAATAAACAGCAATGACGAAGACCAACAAATCATGGTTGAACAGCCAATTAAAAAAAAAGGCAGAAAGGTTGTTCACAGTAGGTCGGCTGGGAGGAAAGGAGTGGTGGATAGATCAACTTTGAAAGACCACCATCTCCATCGATAAACCGACAAAGTAGAAAAGCAATAGGAATATGACAAGAAAAAGGTTACACAATAGGACAGTCAGGCCCAATGAGCGACTGACCAGACAAATCCCACACATAAAGATGGAGGGACAACATCCTTTGATGAAAAAGGGATGCATGAGGTTGAAACAAGAGTGAGTCTGTACACCAATCAAAGAAGCAGAGGAAACCAAGGCTGGGTTGGCCAAAAAGGTGCCACATTAAGACTTGAATAGGAGTGTCATGTATCAAGTAAAGGATACCCAAGGAAGGAGTCAAAGAGGAGTATAAGCATATAAATAAAGGTGAGGCCAGTCCTGGCTGAAAGCTTTGACAGCCAGAGCCAAAGGATGAGGAACAGGGGACTAGAAGAAAGGAAGATTGGAATAAAGGGAGATAGCAAAGGTGTCTATGAGGGGCATGCCCAACTGAGAGAAAATCCAACAAAACCACTCTGTGGTTAGAATGCAGTCCAGCTGAGAGAGATGGTCCCCCGCAATATACATAGCTCCTGTCACATGACAGGCAACAGGATGTACCCTGATGTGAATGAGCCTAGAAAAGTAGGTCTAATGCCTAAAAGCAAAGGGTTCTAGAATGGGTGCCTCCTTGACAGTTGATGTTAGAAACAATCACGAAAATGTCAGAGTGGATTGTGACTAATTGACCCACCAGAAGGGGCAAGAAATGGGAACATGCCCAAAAAAGAGTGAGAAGTTTGAGCACATTGATGTGGAGTGAATTCTCATTCTGCGTTCAAATGCCAGAAGTCATGTTGTCCTCCAGAGATGTGCCTCAATCTGAGAGGGAAGCATCAGTGAAGAGATATAACTGGTTTGGCAGTTGGTAAGAGAACACCAGAAGTAGTATTGGCATAGTCCAGCCACCATGACACTTTTTTGAGAAAGGAAGAAGGGAGGTTTGCAATCAAGGACAATGGAACCTGAGAAAGAATCCCTTGGATCCGTACTGGAGGAGGTGCCAGAGTTCAAAAAAGTGAAAGAACATCTTGTACTGGATGAGAATGAGAAGCACAAACCCTGGAGACCAGATACCCCATAGTTTGCAGCAAAGAGGAAAAAGCTGAACTCAGTTGTGACAAGAGATGAAGAAAACACTACCAAATACCAAGTGGGCATGAAAAAAAGGGGACTTAGATACCTTGACAAGCCACATAAACTTAGTAGCCTCCATCAAATAAAGTGAGGTGTTAAAAATGGATACCACCCAAGAATGGGTCAATAAAAGTCAATTGTGCAAAAAAAGGAATGACAGCCCCAGGCTATGAAGATGGTGAGAAAAGGCCCTCAAAATGAATTTTGGTTAACTCAAGGTTAGTGGCATGCAAGTCTCACAGGCAGACACGTAAGGGAAAACCTTTTTTTGTGTGAGGAGGTGAATTATTATATTAGAAATTTCCCTCGTAATAAAACCAAAAGTCATGTCAATCCAAAAAGGTACATAATCATAATATTATTACTTTTAAAAGAGAGAGACTTTTATACTTGCATGAACATTTAATTAGTTCTAATAAACGATGAATACAAAGAAGCTGGTAAAGCAAAATTAATTTTAAAAATCTGCTACACATAACTGCTTGTCATTTTTATCTGCTTGATACTGGGAACAAAATGTGTGTGCTTAAATAACTAGCAGAATTGAACAGTCCGGTGGAAAAAATATATTTCACAGTAGTTCTCATTTGACAGTAAATGAAGAAACAAGTGTATGGACAGTTCACACTTGACAGTTAAAGAAGATACAGTGGTATGGACAATTTACACAAGACAGTTAAAGAAGATACAGTGTATGGACAACTCACACTTGACAGTTAAAGAAGAAAAAAGTGTATGGACAATTTACATTTGACAGTTAAAGAAGAAAAAAGTGTATGGACAATTTACGTTTGACAGTTATAGAAGATACAGTGATACGGACAATTTACACTTGACAGTTAAAGAAGATACAGTGTATGGACAATTTACACTTGACAGTTAAAGAAGATACAGTGGTATGGACAATTTACACAAGACAGTTAAAGAAGATACAGTGGTATGGACAATTCACACTTGACAGTTATAGAAGAAAAAAGTGTATGGACAATTTACATTTGACAGTTAAAGAAGAAAAAAGTGTATAGACAATTTACATTTGACAGTTAAAGAAGATACAGTGGTATGGACAATTTACACAAGACAGTTAAAGAAGATACAGTGATACGGACAATTTACACTTGACAGTTAAAGAAGAAAAAAGTGTATGGACAATTTACATTTGACAGTTAAAGAAGAAAAAAGTGTATAGACAATTTACATTTGACAGTTAAAGAAGATACAGTGGTATGGACAATTTACGTTTGACAGTTATAGAAGATACAGTGATACGGACAATTTACACTTGACAGTTAAAGAGAAAAAAGTGTATGGACAATTTACACTTGACAGTTAAAGAAGATACAGTGATATGGACAATTTACACTTGACAGTTAAAGAAGATACAGTGATATGGACAATTTACATTTGACAGTTAAAGAAGAAAAACGTGTATGGACAATTTGCTCCCAAAAAAAAGAAAAGTGAACTCTTCAAAATTTCTCGATCTTCTGGGTGTTTTGAAATAAACTTTCAGTAAGATACTTTAGTAAATACATCTCTCATTGCCACTAATTTTTTCTAGTTTGCAAATAAGTCATGAGTAAGTGTAAATAAGGGACTAAAAGATTTATGTATTCATTCTGTACTATTGCATAAGTTTGTTTGTTTGTTTTTGAATTTCGCGCAAAGTTACACGAGGGCTATCTGCGCTAGCCGTCTCTAATTTAGCAGTGTAAGACTAGAGGGAAGGCAGCTAGTCATCACCACCCACCGCCAACTCTTGGGCTACTCTTTTACCAATGAATAGTAGGATTGACTGTCACATTATAACGCCCCCACGGCTGAAAGGGCGAGCATGTTTGGTGGGACGGAGATTCGAACCCGCAACCTGCAGATTGCGAGTCGAGTGCCCTAACCACCTGGCCATGCCGGGCCAATTATTGCATAAGTATACCTACAGATACAATAACATTTAAACCAGTTTGTATTCTCTACAATCAGGACCAAATCACTATATTTTGGTAAGAAAATGCATATCAAAAATGGCAGAGTAAAACTGTTGGACAAAACACTGTTCTGAAATGCTTCTGGAAGTGTAAGTATAGTACAAACTTTTTTTTATCTGTTTGTTTTGTAATAGTCCACATAGGTATACTGTAGCAAATTATAATCACGATAATAACTAAGAAAAATGCATTATGTTAAATCTGTGTGAGTGTAAAGTACATTCATGTAAGATTGAAGGAATGATATATTACTTACATTGTCTCATTAATTCATAAACTCGAGGTGGGCAACCTGGTGGGCATTCCATGCGATAACCTGACTCTAGCATGTGATATACATCAGTTAATTCAACCCCAGGATAGGGAGACATTCCATACGTAGCTAACTCCCACAGTAATATTCCAAAGGCTGGAAGGAAATGTCATTAAAAGGTTAATTTACATAGATAATATTTCAAATTAATTATTTTTGTCTTGGTAGCTCAAAGTATAAACTTTTTTTAACAGTTAGTAAAATCCTATAAATTCATGATGATACATTAAATAAATACCATAGTGTTATTTTTTTCCCTGCACTGGATTTAATGCATGGCTATGAAAGCACTTCTGAATCTTTAAATAAATACTTGTTTTGAATTTTATAAATTGAAATTACTCTACAAAAAAAGCTCAATGTTCTTTCATGTGAAATAAAAAGCTGAAGCAAAATGTAATGGATCACCTACATATAAAATAATAAAAAATCCACAACAGTTGTTATGGTTCCCTCTTTATATATGTATATATATATATATAATCTTTCACTATATTCTGAGCAAAGCAATTTAAGTCTTCAGAACACTATCAAATATTAAGGACTCCTAATGTCCAAAATGCATTTCTTAAGTTTTGAAATTTTTTCATGCTGTTCCTCCAAAGGAAGAGGGTGGGGAGATATTCCATTATAACCATATCACCACCCTGAAGTATTTCACATTAATCCTTCTGCTTCACAAGATTCCACCCTGGAACTTGTATCACAGTTAACCACACTACTAGTTTTCAAAATAAGATTTACTAAATATGACATAATGTTATGTGTAATAAATATTTACTAGACATAACATATCATTATACAGTGTACAGATTTACTACACATAACATTATACATTGTACAGATTTACTACACATAACATTATACATTGTACAGATTTACTACACATAACA